AAAAATTATTTACAAAATCTTCTGCAGGACAGTTCAATTCTTTACAATAATATAATATATTATGAAAGAAAATTAAGCTGTTACACTGAGATGGTTTAGGAAAACCATAAAGTGTTTTTGTACAGTCAATTAATTGTACAGGCAGCATTAAACCATCAAAGTTAAATGATTGTTTATAGCTTATGAATTTCCTAGCCTATATTTTTCTTTAGCAGGGGGTTTCAAACTTTTTAATGGCAATGAGCCCTAAACAATACCCTTGTGAGATTCTTTATTTAGGCTTATAATATAATAAAATATATGCCCAATATAATATAATATAAAAAAATGAATTGAAGTATTTGAAGTGATAGTTTAAATGCTTCAATTTGTTTTCATATTATATTATTATAATATGAAAACAAACTGAAGCATTTACTGTAAATAGCTAGATCTAATAGCTAAATATTTTCAAGAAAAGTCAATATGTGAACTCTTTTATAGTAGCCTAATCTAACCATGCCTGAAACTATTTAAATCTATGTAAACTAATGATGTATTTTGAGTTTGCACGCGGGTGGGTGTGTGTAATTGTTACCGTTCTGTGTCCATCATCCGTTATTTCCACCACTTTAATCAAACCACTCTTCTTTAAAACATGATATTGGGATTTTATTTCACATGTCTTTGCGTTTCTCGTCGCCTCTCGTATTGAGATATTTGGTCCGCACACACGACTCACTGCCAATCACACGCGCTCACATCATTCTCTTTCTTTGAAACCTGTTAACTGCACTCACCAGTTTGAGCACTGCAATTATTTCTCACATACAATCAAATGGATTTCCCCACACATTTCGCGTCAGTCCTCTGCGTGGCATATTATTCTTTTCTGCGCGGCCGCGGCATCAGAAGTGCACGACCGCGCACGCGCGCAGCTTAGAGGGAACGTGATTCTTATGTTTATATATTTTGTACGTCGAATAAATTATTAATTATTATTGTTCTGCGTAGTTTGAAGATAAACATTTTTAAATATTTATCCCGGATATATATTTTTTTAATCAGGAAGGGGGTGGGGGGTCAAATGGGGGGTCAAAGCATTTTTTGGGAGGGTCTTGAGACCCCCCCTGGCGCCGCCTCTGAATTTATCAAACAAAAATTGTAACAAATTGCATAAATAATGAGTGATACCACAACAAAATCCACAATGGATTAGAAATGCAAACACACACACACACACAAACATAGGCTAAATTTAATGTCAAATGTTTAGGAGGTCCAAATCTAATCTCTCTTTTACTCACCATGGCTAACTTACATTTAGGCTACTTGCTAAAAAATACAGTCAAGCTGTTTTTCAAAACTTTAAACTGCCAGTGTGGAATATACATGATAATAACATGTAATCGCTGTAATGATGTAAGTTAGCATAATTGCAAAAAATGTATAGGCTATTTCTTAAATGTTAAACTTTTTTTGTATGTGTTACAATACTGATTTTATCTCTCTGTGTCTCTGCATATTTGAAATTTTAAGAGGGCTTTGTCGTGATATGTTGTTTATATAACACAAATTAGCATTAAAAATTATCGATCTTAAAGCCACACTGCGGAACTTTTGGCCACTAGTGGCGCTCGACCTGTAACTTTCACGTCTAGCGTCCCTAGAGGCCACAAGCTCCGCAGCACTGTCGCAAATTAAAGTCAACAAACAGTCAACCGGTCAGCCTCCCGTGTCTTTAGATTGTGTGTGCTTGCAGTGTTTGAGGCGGACCGGGCAGCCTTGCCGCACTCGATTGCCTTATAGACAAGTTTCCCGGGCACTTCCGGTTTACTTCCTGTTTCTGCCAAGAACTTCCGGCGTAGCCGCACCGGCTGAGTAGTAGTGTAAACATGGCTTTGGAATGGCAACACTCGACCGAAAATCTTATTAAAAATGCTGTTTTGACCATTCCGCATCCAAGTAAGGTAACATCATGGGCGGACAACATGTCGATATGGCCCAGCATCACAACATCCAAGATATTTTCTTATTTTATTGATTCCATGGCGGTGGATGGGAATGCAATTAATAACCTGAAAAGCTCAGAGGCGTTTCAGTACCTCCATTCAGACAAAGTGGGCTGTGTACTTTTACACGATATGGGCAGTTTAATTTACCTAAAGGCCGATGTTCAACCAAGCCAGTCCGTTAACAATTCAGCGCATAACGCCTGGGTTTTGGTTACCAAGACGGGAGATGTGGAGACAGCAGGCTGTACCTGTATCGCCGGACCTGGACGTTCCTGTAGCCATGCAGCCGCCGTGCTTTGGAAGGTACGTTAGCCCATCTTATGCTTGTATTAAGATGTTTGTATGTATCCGTGTGTTAATCTGCGTAATAATGAGTAGACAGTGTTGACTTCCGCGAATGATAAGCCTTCCGTATTTGAGTGCAAATCTATAGCATTTTACCGCAAAACGGAGAAATGTTACTTCAGCCTATCTAATGATATATAATGCGGTTGGTGTGTGAACCAATCACAGACCAATATAAAACAAACACTAGGAACGATACTTTTAAACAGAACAAATCAAAACAAAAGAAAACGGTGTAATCCGTATGAAATGGGCAAATTTGCAACAAACCCTTTCTGGCTTTTGTTTATTTTATTTATTTTTATCAAACTGATTTATTTTATTTATCCATTTGCTTTTACTCATTTTTTTTTATATTACTCACTTATCATTTATCACTTTATTAAATGTTATTTATTTATTTAATATTTAATTATATTTTCTTTTATTCTTTTATTATTCTTTTCATATTTTTCAAGATTTTTTTATATGTCTAAATAAATGCAGGCATTAAGGCGTTAAACATTGATGTTGATGGCTGCAGGCCCAGCTCATTAATTGTTTTGAAAAGTAACAAAAACGCTCTACCTTCATCATACCCTTGTTATTTTGATTTATAAAATGTTGTCTCTAAAAGAAGTCAATTGTGCTGTGATGCTCAAACCATTATTTAAAAAGTGTGTGATTTTGTTTCTATCTGTCTGCAGGTAGAAAATGCTGTGAGGCAAGGGAAGACAGGGCTTGCCTGCACTGATGTGCAGAATTGCTGGAATGCCGGGACAAAAAGCAATACTGGGCAGCAAAAAATCAGAGATGTGTCTTTCCGAAGACACAGCAGAAATAATCTATACCAACCAGCATCACAGGCATCATCCTCCAGCATAGTCTCTACACCTAGTCGCAAAGTAAAAGTCCATGAGACACTGGAAGAATGGCAAAATTACTGTCTCTCCACACCAATAGCGGCACTTTTTACTGCACCTGGCAGTGGACTAATGCAGCTCACTTTTAACACCAGCCTCCCTGCTCAGTCTGCCGAGACATCAAAAGCTCCACTGCCCCTACATCATGGTGATCACAACACACAACTTGAATGTGAGAAATGTAGGGCATTCTACACCACATACATTGACATGACCACAACCCAATTTATGTACATTGAGCAGCACACAAAAGAACAGAGCAGGGAACAACTGTGGCATGACATGCGACGGGTACGGATAACAGCAAGCACAGCCAAGAATGTGCCAGTTCGGGCTACCACAGCACCAGACAAATTCTTGTCTGAACACCTCCATCCTACCTTTCACGGTAACGCGGCAACCCGGCAAGGAGCAGAGGGTGAAGAGCACGCCAGGCAATACCTGCAAGACCAAGGTCATGGCATCGATGTGAAAGGTTTGGTGGTTTGCCCGAGTGAGCCATGGCTTGCTGCGAGTCCGGATGGTGTCATGAACAGAGACACACTACTGGAGATCAAGTGCCCTGTCTTAGTCAAAAACTAGTCCCTTACTGAAGCACTTGCTGCTAAAAGCAGTGAGATCAAACGCATGCCCACGGGGGACTTCCATCTGTCCTTCAATGGGCCAAAGGGATATTACATGCAGGTGCAACTGGGCATGCACTGCACAGGCCTACGGCAAGCCTTGTTGGTGATTTGGAGTAACACTGAATGTCTGCAGCTCAACGTGCCCTACGACCAAACCTTTGTTGAGGGACATATCTCAAGGCTGCACTCCTTCTATTTCACCCACATGTTGCCAAAAGTTGTCGATGACTTCGATGATGGAAGGCTGGAGTTGTGCTCCAGATACATGAATGTTGTAAAATCAGCATGACCTGCTTATGTGTACTGGGTTGATTAGTCAGTCCTTTTTTAACCCCTTGTCCCCTGTTGTCACAAATCCTTTCTAGCTTTTATTTATTTTTATCAAACTGATTTATTTAATTAATTTTATTTTTATTTCTTTTTATATCAGTCACTAATCATTTATCTTTATTTATTTATTTTATGTATTATTTATTTTTTTCCAGTCTTTTTCTTTTTGTAATATTTTGAGATTTTTTCCTGTATTTACTTTGTTTTTATTTAATTATAAAAAAAAATGCAGCCATTAAGGAGTTAATGAAATTGTCCCTTTGTTATGGAATAGGATAAATAAAAATGAATTCATTTCTTCTCAAAAAAACAAATTGTTTATTGTCATGTGTCAATATTTACAATACAAGAAAAAGAATAGCACTCACACAAGTTTTTCTTAGGGTGTATTCACACCAGGAAAGTCCGATAGTTCACTTGCTTTGGTCCGGACCAAATAATTTTTTTTTTTTTTGGTACAGTTCGCTTTCACACTGCTCTTTTTGCAAGTGAACCTTATCAATAAATCACAACACCAGAAAGGGTACAATAACAATAAATTTACGCAGGTTTTCTAGCTGAAATTTATATATATATATATATATATATATATATATGGTAACTTTATGTTAAGGATCAGAAATTAGACACTAATTAATGACTAATAACTGCATTTGTAAGTAACTTGTTATGTACTTGTATGCAATTACAAATGCAGTAGTCATGAATTAGTGTCTAATTTCTGATCCTTAAAATAAAGTGTTACCATATATATATATATATAAGGAATATGTACAATTTAAATAAATAAAAACCTGCAGGTAACCCAGGTTTTACTTTTCATAGGGACTTACACCTCATGTGGCAGTCGGATGAGTCTGGACCTCATGTTTGCTAAAGCAGCACATATGATAAGAATCTTGTCCAACCTCGGGGTCATGGAGATGGGGACAGTTTGGGACAGAATTTTGAAGACTTTAAGTCTTCGGATTGCCCTCTCCACATGTATACGGACATTGGCCACTCGTCTAGTGCGCGTTACCTCCTCATTGGTCAATTGACCACGCTTGTGGGTAAAGGCAGGAATATTCAATTTCACCTTCCTTTCATGTAGTACATCTCGAATCGTGAAACCCCTGTCAGCCATTACCTCATCACCAGGCCTTAGGGCCTCCAGAAACCCACTGTTTATAGTGATGAACTTATCACTGCTTTTACCAGCATAGGCCTCTGATATAAACATTATCAGCCCATGAGGTGACACAGCAACAAGATATTTGGCAGTATTCGTTCCCTTGTAATGACTGAAAGTGGCACTCCTACAGTTAAGGTTTGTAGCTCTCTGAATAGCCGTTTCAGCACAATCGATGATGCAAGTGGTCTGGGGGTGGTTCTTTTTAAAGGATGGTGGCATGTTAGCACGAATAACACTTCTTGGCAGCCAGGCAACCATGGGCTCAAGCTGCTCACCCAATGTATCAATCCAGTGAGCAATCACCTTACTTACTTCACCACACTTTAAAGCGCTTTGCCACATCCCCTAACACAAGGTTCAGTTTCAGTTTCATGAGGGTCATCAGTATTTGGTCAACAACAGGAATACTACATGATGGATTACTAAATGGCAACATTGTTTTCACCAAAATAAAAAAATATAATAGACGCAGTCCTGTGTACAGCAGCGAGGTATCATCATCAAGGAGCATATCATCAGCCACAGTCTGAACCCCAGTCTGCGTCGATTTGTTCACGTGGTCCAACTTTGCCGCGTAGCTGTGGTCAGTTTTTGTTAGGTCCTCCCATTGTGTTGCAGCATCTTTAAACTTCGGCTCGATGCACACTTCTAAAAGACAAACAGCATCAACTATAAATGTATATACCCTACTAACACAGGACAGAGACACATATATCAACAGTCGAACTTATGCTGCAAACTTTAGCTAACCAGAAAAATATCAAGATACACTTACCATCCAATTGCGTGTCACTTGTGTTTCTGTCGAGTTTACGTCTCTTTTGCTGGGGAGGTCGCTCGTATCCCAAAAAAAGTTCCGGGAAAGGGTTTTCCTCTGTGGGCTTTTTATTAATGAAGTGATAAGAACAAACAAACAGTCTTTTGGGCGGATTCTTCAACTTCAAAGCCGCTAGCCACTTCCGAGATTCAACATCTGTTTTTGGTTTCTCATACAACGCATACGGGGGAGCACATCCACATTGGCGCCTTGTAGATGGTTGATGGTCGAAACATTCTCCCTCCGACCAAACATTCAGCAATCGCCACGAGTTGTTACAACCGCGAACAGCACAATATGTCCCGGAGCCGTGTCGGCGTGTAACACCATCCATAGTTTACCTTTTCTGCACGCTAACCAAAGAAGACAGTAAAAGACGCTAACTCGCTAACCGGAAGTGCTTGGCAGACACAACCGGAAGTCGTTGGCAGAGTGAACGGCTAATGGCGGCCCGCCTATTTCACTCAGGAAACTTGTCTATAGCAGTCTGCTGAGAGAGAGCGAGTGGGGTGAGCCCCGTAGGGCTTATGTCTGTGAGTGAATGTGGGCGCGGGACAGCGGGCACATTTACTGCACTGAAAACACCGTCGGCCTGAGCTGACTGTATGTGTGTTGGTTTATTTTGACAGAAACCGTGGGACATGTGGTGTGTAGTGTTTGTGGGTACTACTGAGTCGTGGGCACGTTCACTACATTTAATGTAACGTTACATTTGACATGAGACGATTTTATTTGTGCGAGCCCTGCACTGAGGCGGGCTGTGTTTGTGTGTAGAAATGAACACTGGGCTGTGGGCATTTTATTACACTCATAACATCATCGGCTGTGGCCGGAATACCAGAAAATACTACACTGCTTATATGAATTTATCTGGGTCACCTTGGAAACGGCATTTGTGTGCAGGCAAGCGTCAGCATCGGTCGGGCGCCCTTCCTCCTCCTTTAGCTCACGCCAGCGAAAGCTGGACCAATGTTAATCCTCGTCCTGGCTTTTAATTTGTCACTCTCCCTTTATCTTTTTTTTGTTTCCTCTGATAAAACCGTTGCCTTCTTCCTTGTAGCTGTTGGTTCGGCCATGACGAAAACATACAGACGGCAATCAAACGCGAGTTGAACACTCACGTCAGAATCTGAGGGTGGTGGGGGAAGTGACGTATGCCGTAAAGCGGTCGAATTTTGTAGTTATTTTTGTGCTCGGGTTCCTACCCGAAACCCGAAGTTACAAAGTGCTAGTAAAAGCGATACAGACACCTTCAGGCTACGGCAGACGTGTCATTCAACCTATTGTAAGTCGATGTACCATCTCAATGGGTTTTGGTAATATATTATAAAGGTTGAAAAGTTCCACAGTGTGGCTTTAAAATTTGATAATCTCTATAGAAGATATAAATATCATAAGGGCACAAAATAAAAAATCCTCAATCAATAGAATATAAACAAAAGTAATCAATATCCTTATGATATTTATATTTTTGTGTGATGTTTCAGGTGCCAATTGCTGCTATACATTTTAGTATGTTAATCCATCAGTGTATGTCACTTAAATTGAAATGGCTGTGATATAAAAATAAAGATGTCTGATGTCATTTAACGTTAAATGTAATCGACGAACATTTAGTCAACTTCTACATTTTAACTAACAGCTACAATTATACATTGTGGCACATCTTTAACATTTCACTTTCCGACTATACTAACTCATACTAACTCTAAAATTAAAAATTATCACTTACCAAACTTCGCTCGCTTTGAGGTGAGAAGTCAGCAGCCGTTAGTGAAATGCAGTCGAGTGCATCAGTGCGCGCCCACTTCTTCTTCAGCAGCGCTGGATCCGGAAGTATAAATAAATATATATTTTTTTTAATTTGGGTTGAAGCGTTCTAAACCATTAACTAAACCGGCTAAATCGCAAGATTGCACAGTTTTAATTGAAGAAAAAAATAATAATATATATATATATATATATATATATATATATATATATATATATATAAAGAAGACAAAAATACAAGATTGAGTGTAAAGACTACAATGAGGTAAAACTGCAAACCCATGAAGCATTGCGGTTTAGGCGCACTTTCTGGGCGCGTTTTTCTAGATGCAACCTGATTGGTAAAAAAATTGTTAAAAATGTTTTTTTTTTTTTTTTTTTATATTAGAAAAAAAAATCAAACAATTAAAGTTCTATTGTAAATTTAAAATTTATGGTGTTTCATATTTTAAATTATTATTAGGCTAATTAAACCTTGTTAATAGAGAGCAATAAGCCCATGGTGCAAACAGGAATAGGGGAAACAGCTGTGTTTATGAAAATATCATCAATTATAAAATATCTGAAATTACATTTTAACTGTGGGATAAGTCTGGCCAGACATATGTGGGCCACATTTCTATATTTTACGTGTGAGACAAATAATACACGTTTTAACCACTGGCCCATATCCTGTTTGCCGCCTTAAAAACGGTTCAATCTGCCCATAAGTCGGTGTTTGTGTTTGAAAGCTCCGTCGAATCAATTCATTAATCCTTGATTTTCTTTTTTACCACTCATTTATAAACAAGCACTTTCTATTTTTATATCATGGGAACTTATCCTCGATACTATTCCTTATAAAAAACAATCGGATTGCTTTGATATCGCTACTTAGACCCAACTTTGCGAATCTCGGCTACTAGCCTTTAGTCCGCTAGCATTTCACGCGTGGCCTCGCGCCTATTGACCGTCTGATTTTACACCCGTTTCACTGAAAGGATACAGGTTATATCCAGCATTTCAGTCCTAAATTACTAGTGATATTGGTAGTATCACTACTAATCTACTGTTCATCTGTTATGGCGAACATATCAGATGTGTGTCTAACGTTACCTCTGAGTGCAGGTGAGGACACATTCGAACTCATTTCGGTACGATTGGAGCTTGAATCGGTGGAGAAACAGATCCGTGGTCTGCTAGAGAGGCAAGCCGAGCTGCGGGATCGGCGATCAGCGCTTGAAACGTCACACGCCGATGCACACAAGTCAGTGGTTAGTAACTTTTTGACTCCGACTTCGTCCACTCCGTGCGTTTCTCTGCCCAGAAGGACGCGATCATCTCTGGCATCATTCACTCCGGCACCAACCCAACACAATGGACCCTGGGTGATCCCACAGCGGAAGACACGAGCCAGGACCAGAGCAAGAACCTCTCCGCCCCTCCCGGTCTTCGAGATCTCCACCCGGAACCGCTTCTCCCCTCTTCGCGAGTCGGAACGCGACGACGCCGTGATCATCGGCACTTCCATGGTCCGTCATGTCCGCGCTACCTCAGGTAAGGGTAAGGTGCGCACTCACTGCCTTCCTGGTGCTCGTGTACTTGATGTCGCCGCACAGGTTCCCGAGATCCTGAACGGTGACGAGCGCGTCGGAGCTGTGGTGCTTCACGCTGGAACAAACGATATCAGGCTGCGGCAGACGGAGGTTCTGAAGAAGGACTACAGGAGCCTGATCGAAACGGTACGCAGCACAGCGCCTGAGGCAACGATCATCGTGTCTGGACCGCTTCCCACGTACCGACAAGGACAGGAAAGGTTCAGTAGATTATTTGCACTTAATGAATGGTTAATGTCATTGTGTAATGAACAAAAACTGCTCTTTGTAAATAATTGGAATCTGTTCTGGGAGCGACCTACACTGTAAAAAATCAAATGGTAAAAAAAGGGTCAAATGACTGGCAGCACAGGCTGCCAAACAAATACCGTAAAAATAAAGTAAAATATCCTAATTTAAATTAAGTGCAAAAACATTTAACAGATATTTTTCTTAAACGTTTTACAGAAAAACACTGTTATTTTACCGCTATTATCTGGAATATTACGATCAAACACCCTACCTGTAAAAACAATCCCATAAAAAAACACTCAATGACTTTCAGCAATGGCTGCCACACAAAAACCATAAAATGAATGTAAAATAGCCTAATTTAAATAAGTGCAAAAGTATAAATCTTCATTAAGCTTTTTAACAGAAACACAGTTATTTCACATTTTTTTATTAAGAAACATGTAGGTGATTGCATGATTTACTGTGACTATACGTCACTGTATCAGCAACAACACAGTTACTGTCAGTTAAATAAAGCAACATGCAGCATTTCATCAGTGTGATTCTGCTCATCCTGAACTGAAGCACAGGCTCTACTCTTCAACACAATGGTGACCAACAAAACACACCATACAGAAACAATTTACATCCCAACAGAACATTAAACACTAACAGATCTCTCAAGATCTCTGCATCCTCACTTATTACAATCCAGACTTTATTTATTGCATACTAACATTCTTACTGAGAATTAACAGATGTTTAGAAGTTGTTTTTTTATGGAAAATAATAAAGTTTGATATCACCATGATGAAGATCAGTGTTTGCTTTAGTGGGGTTCTTGACCCTTTGGTTTTAATATGACGATTTCTCTAGCTGCTTTAACTGTGTGTTGTCGATACATAGTGGGGAATCCTAGAGAAACTCAGATCAGAAGATCTGGTCAC